CATGTGGTGCTGGGGAATTGAACCGCGGTCCCTGTGCTTTGCTAAGCTTGTTCTAAGTAGGTGCTTTAGACCACTGAGCCATCTCACCAGCCCTGTACATTTGTTTTGAATGTAGTGTTTTATGTTATCTTTTGTTTTTAATGATTTCTTACAATGTTTTGCATTGCTACCATGTGTGTTGATCAGACTTACTGTTCCACTGCTTGAAATTCCATAATAAATTATATAATTCTGATTGACCTAAATACTATTTTTTGCTTCTAAATGTATTTTCCCTATGCAGTGTATATAATAATTCTTCAAAAAATTGTCTTGCTGTATAATCTAGCATAAATGTCTTAAGCAATTTATGGAGGCAGGCTTTATTTTCGTGGTAATAAGAGTTGATATTCTAACATCAAAAAGTATAGTTTTTGCTATTATTTGCTTTGTTACCAAATGCCTAAGCATCCTACCCATCCATGCTGGGTGAAATAGATTTTCTTCTTCTTCTTCTTTTTTTTTTTCCTGTGGTATCGGGGATTGAACTCAGGACCTTGCACTTGCCAGGCAGGCACTTATTCTACTGAGCCATTTCCCCAGCCCCTTAAAGTAGATTTTGAGCACAGTATGAGCTGTATTTCTTTGAATTTAATGGAACAGCTGTCTTTTTCTTTAAGACCTGTGGGGCTGTCACTAGGTTGTCAGATGCTGTGATCAGCTTTCTAAGTTCTTGTCCTGACCAAAGAATTAGTCAAGATACACACAAAAGATGCGAAGTTTTACACTTATTAAAGGTAAGATTTTGGGCTGGTGAGATGGCTCAGTGGTCTAAAGCACCTACTTAGAACAAGCTTAGCAAAGCACAGGGACCGCGGTTCAATCCCCCAGCACCACATGCCAGCCAGCCCCGCCCCCAGGTGGGCTGAGCTGGCCACACACACACACACACACACACACATAAATAAAATAAAAAAAAAAAAAGGTAAGATTTTGGTATAAATGAAACCATAAAAATGCAGAGTGAGTGCAAGCCAATTAACAAGCTTGCTATAAGCAGGCCTCTGAGAAAGAACAGTGGCAGCCGGGATGAACAGCTCCCAGTCTTACACCTTCAGCTCCTCAGGTCGAGGTCAGAGCTAAAATATCCTATCAAGAAGCTGCTTGATCTACAGAATGGAGTTCATGCACCGTGGTACCACTTTACATACATGAATTAAATTCACAGTACTCATAGTGGATCTGAGGAAGGACTACAGTCCACTTTCAGAAATAAATATAAGGCATCCAAGGTCCTGAGTTCAATTCCCAGTACCAAAAAATAAATACAGAAATAAATAAATAAGAAATAAATATCAGGCACATAACCCAATCACCTTCAAAAACCCCACCAGGGCCAGAGATATAGCTCGATGGCATAAGCAGCAGCCTAGCAAGCACAAGGTCCTGAGTTTGATCCCCAGTACTGCCACAAAAACAAAAACAAAAACAAAAAAAAAGGAACAAAAATCCTCCCAGGGAGGACATGAGGCTTTTAGGGGATAGTTAGATATAAACCGTAAATAGCTCTTCAGTCACTACCAGTTGAACATACAAAAATTTTCATCACCCTAACAAGTTGTATTGCCCCTTGTAGCTCAGTATGCTCCCCAGAAGAAGCCGCACCCTGAAATTCTGTTCCTGAAATTCTGTTGCCACAATTGGTTTTGCCTGTTCATGAACTATCCACATAGAGTCATGCAGTGTATGTAACATGCATATACCATTCCGGACTATCCAAATTGTAGCGTATGTGCCGCCCAAGTGAGCATGCACGCCCAACTTTCTGGCTTTCTTCCAACAAGACAGATTTGAAATTAACCCAGATGCTGGTGTATTATCAGTACTCCATTCTTTTTTCTTACTGTGTAGTATTCCATTTAT